AAATGTAGTGAAACACTGCACCCAGCCTTCCACGAAGAGGGCACCAGATCTCATTATAGATGGTTGTGAGCCACCAAGTGGGTAGTAGGAATTGAACTCAGGATCTTTGGAAGACCAGCCAGTTCTCTTAACCTCGGAGCCACCTCTCAGCCCTTCTTTCTTTCTTAAGTTACTTTTGTCTGCATATTTTAGCATAGCAACAGAAAGGTAATTAAAACGATATTTTTTTAGAAGGAACTAGGCCTTTAATTACAGCATTTAAGATGCTGCTACAGAAAGAATCATGAGTTTTCATCATGATACAGTATCTTTTTTTTTTTTCAAGAGAGGGTTTCTCTTGGTAGTACTGGCTGTCCTGGACTCACTTTGTAGACCATGCTGGCCTCAAACTCACAGAGATCCACCTGCCTCTGTTTCCTGAGTACTGGGATTAAAGACGTGCCACCATGCCCAGCCTTTTTTTTTTTGTTTGTTTGTTTTATTTTTATTTTTTATGATATAATATCTTAAAAACAAAAGCCAACTAAAAGCAAGAAAAAATAGACTTTATCAAAATTGAAATATATTTCTTTTGAAAGGAACTTTTCTTCTTCTTTTTTTCCTTAAGATTTATCTCTTAGTATCTGCTTGAAACAATGCTAGGTAGAGTCTTTTAGATGCCTTCTGAGGTAGACTCCTGTCATACGTCCAATGCACATCCCATTTGTCTTTCTAAGTGAGGATTGATCATCTTACCCCGTGTCTGCTTTCTCTTTTATCTTCTTTAGGTGTATAGATTTCATTATGTTTATCATATATTGTAGGTCTATATAAGCGAGTATATACCATGTTTGTCTTTCTCCTTCTGGGATACTTCACTCAGAATGATCTTTTCTAGATCCCACCATTTGCCTGCAAATTTCATGATTTCCTTGTTTTTGACTCATAACCAAACCTTAGGCAGAGTGCAGGGAATCATATGAAAGAAGGGGAGTTAGTATGACATGGAAAGGATAGGAGCTCTACAAGGACCAAATATATCTCGGCACAGGAGTCTTTTCTGAGACTGACACTCCACCAAGGACCATGTATGGATATAACTTAGAACCTTTGCTCGGACAAAGCTTGTGGTAGCTCCGTAACCAATAGGTTTCCCATAGTAAGGGGAACAAGGGCTATTTCTGACAGGAACTCAATGGCAGGCTCTTTGACCTTCCCACCCCTCAAGGGAGAAGCAGTCCTATTAGGCCACAGAGGAGGACTTAGCAGCCAGTCCTGAGGACACCTGATATAACAGGGTCAGATGAAAGGGGAGGAGATCCTCCCCAATCAGTGGACTTGTAAAGGGGGAGGGAGGAGATGAGAGAGGGAGGGTGGGATTGGGAGGGAATAAGGGAGTGGAATACAGCTGGGATACAGAGTTAATAAAATGTAGCTAATAATAAAAAAATAAATTAAAAAAAGGTTTATTTCTTTTCTATATGAGTACTCTATCTATGTGTACACCTGCATGCCAGAAGAGGGCACCAGATGCCAGTATAGATGGTTGCAAGCCACCATGTGGCTGCTGGAACTGAACTCAGGATCTCTGGAAAAGGAAACAGTACTCTTAACCACTGAGCCATCTCTCCAGCCCCTGAACAGATTAGAATTTATGACAGAACAAGCCACAGATGAAAAAATATTAGTCAAGCGATATATTTTATAAATATTTTACATCCAAAATATATAAATATCTCTCAAAACTTAATAATAAGAAAATAATCCAAACATAATATTTTATAGGCCAACTAACAAAGAACATAAATGAACAGTAAATGACTATAACACACACACACACACCAAAAAAAAAAAAAAAAGAAGAAGCCACAGGTTATTAATGAAAATCTCAGTGGCAGGGGTGGGTTACATAGAAGTTTTGGCTAGAGCCCACTGAGGCCCCACAAGCAATACAGATATTTACAATGTCTGAAGGTTTCTTATCAGAACCAGATAGCAGGACTCTATTACTGAAGACACCGTGTGCTTTGATGGCAGGACACACAGAAATCCAGCTAGAAAAATGGTGGAAACTTTCTTCCTGCTAACTAGCTCTCATAATGTCCAAAGACACTGTGCAGGCTGCTTGTGCGTGGGGCAGGAGGGAGTATTTTCAGCCAGAGGTTTACTCAGTTGTCAACTCTGTGTGTTCTAGTACCACCTGTGCAGACAGAAAAGTGCTCTATGATGCAACAGTAGCAAATCAGTAATGAGAATAAGCTACTGCTTTCTGAGGGATCTGAAGCCACACTGCTGTGGGATGGAACTCACCTCTGATACTGTAGCCTGGTCAAAAAATCCATGGTTTAGGAGGTCATAGGCCACAACCAGGAAGTACTGCTGTTTTTATTTTGCTAAATGGACATGATATGCTTCTTAATAACCACATTCATATTCATGGATTAGTGCTTTGGTTTTACTGTGTTTTACTGTGTTTTTTGTGTTTTACTGGTGAGTGACAGCGATAAAATGCAGAACATAAGGGACTGCTGAATGTTCAGTCTTACATAGAAGAAGCATTTTCCCCCTCTAAAGTTCAGAGAATGCTATGGAAGAGGGAGTGAAAACCCTCTAAGATGAGAGGGGGAGTAAGTCGGACAGGGAGATGGAGCACTGTGCTCAGAGGCAGGCAGCCCCCAGTCTTCCCTAGGTATAGACAGCTAATCCTGACAGGAGGGGGAAGACGCATCTCCGTCAGGGTGTAACCTCCAGAAAGGAGCTCACACTATAACCAACCCTCACCCAGGATGTTGTGAAAAACCCTAAAGCCCACAGACACACCACACAAAAACAGATAAGAAAAGACAAAACTAAACAGCCACGAATGGACGAAGGAGACTATTTGAGAGTAGGTAAGGTATCAGCGGAAGAGCCGGGGATGGGGGGAGCAAGAGGGTAATGAGAGGTGAAAAAGATAAGAATACATTATGCACATGTGTGAAGATGTTCTAGTGAAACTCATTATTGCAGATAATTACCATATATTAATTAAAAGGAAAAATTACGCTAGCTCAGAAGTTAAAAAAAAATTCCCTATATAGGCAGCAACTAGCTAGAAAAAAACAGAAAAACAATTGATACAATAGCAATGTAAAGACTTTTTTTTTTTTTAGTAATTAGCTTAGCTAAGAATAAAGGAGTGGTCCACTTTTGAGAGGCGAACAATGCAGACAAGTGCAGATATATTCTGTAGGAATAGCTGAAACAAGAAAGTATTATGCAGGCCAGAATTTGGATGCATTCCAAGTCTTCTTTTCTGTGAGAGTAAACAGGAAAAATATACAGTGGACACGACAGCACATGCAAAGATGCGGACGTACTCCATCACTCCACAGTCAGTGGAAGAAGAATGAGATCAGGTACACACACGAAACCAGGACTGAGAATTTCATACTTGGAGCTGAACAAGGAAACCAACACTACGATATCATGTCCGAGGTACTGACTGCTCACATATCAAACATGGGTTGAAAGAACACAAAGAAGGTTCACATTAAATACTGTGAGGCTGTGTCCCACGGGATAAGGAACAGAGTTTGGTCAATGCATGTAAAGACTTCACGTAAACACTTAGAGACTCTAAGCCTATTGAGAACCTAAGTCAGGAGGCAAAATAATTCAGGGATTATCTCTGATTACAGCATTAAAAAGATACCGAGGGAGGAAAACATTCTGGAGTGTGTGTGAGTGTGTGTGTGTGTGTGTGTGTGTGTGTGTGCATATGTACATTTGGGCATGTGTGTGCACACTGACAGAACCTTGCATCTGATGGCTCAGCATGATAGCCCATGGCATCGTTTAACCTGTGGTCAGGCTGAGACAGAAATACCTGGGTGAGACTCCAGCACAAGTTCTCTGCATTCCACAGTGCTCTTAGACAACATTCAAGAAGAAACTATGTACCACTGTGCCAAAAGCTTGTTAAAATACGAGGCAAAGTATTCAATGGTGTCAAAGGAGTTGAGATGAAGACATAAGCCCCACCTTTAATTGTTTGGCCCAAGAGCCTCTAAAGATGCTCAGATAAAATATACTTAAGAGTGTCTAAGAAGAGGGTAATTATTTGATGCATGAAAAGGAAAAGAAGAAAATAATGGATGTCAAGATGTTACTGTCCCAGAGAGGAATCTTGACAATAAAAGCCACAGCTTGAGCTTAAAGATAGAGATAAACTGATCTGGAAATGAGGGAAGTTTTGGAAAGGAGTGTAATACGATGAAGCATTTGGTCTGCTGAGCACTGGAAGTGTGTTTGAAACTGCTCATCTACTATTACATAGCACTTAATTAATCACTACTGAATTAACATGAGCGACACACCTGGTCTTAATGTTTTAATCAGCATAGAGAAGCTGATGTGACATTAAAGCATTTGAAAAAGCCATTTTCTTTTCTTTTTTTTTTTTTTTGACTTTTTAAACTATATGTTCTTCTTATTTTATAACAGAGAAAGGAATAGCCCAATTACCCTTGCATGTTACCAAAAACAAATGCACAGAGTGATTTTTCAACAGTTAGTGTTCTAGGAACCTAACCAAATTTGATTTCACAATAGTTTCCTCAGTCTAAAAGGAAATCTCAGCTAATGATACAAAAACAGAATTGAAAAAAAATTTGGAAGGTTTGAAAAATTAAAAAAATGTAGTTAAAAATCTGAATTATGACATTTTTCTCTCCCCCTTCCTTGCTCCAAAGGGTCCCTGGCCTCCTTCAGATTCAGGCCTCCTTTTTTTTTTTTATACTAATGCTATTGCATACATATACATATATAACACATTCCTAATAGAGCTGCTTGGTTGGTCAACACCCAGGTATCATTCCAGATTTATGTGAAAAAATAGAGAATGAATTTTATGACTAACAGGAACTACTTGTATTTAATTAGTTAATTAATAACACAAGCTATAATATTGAACAATTGCCTCAATTTTGTATTTATTAAGGTTATTATTTGATAATCAAATTAATTTTCATGGAACTTACAAAGCTGAGCATCTGCATGGAGAGTCCCTCCTTTCGGGTTCAGCTTCTGGCTTTGAACAGCAGGAACCGGTTTGTAAGACTGGCCGGTGGCCCTGTACATGGCTTGGACCCATAACACTCTGTCCTGTTCATCATCGCTGGCAAAGAGTACAGTATCTCCTTCTTTAACAGCGTTAAAAAATACCCGGCCACCCTGCAGACCTGCGGGAGAAGACAGACTCGGTTACAATTCACAAGATCGAGAGACTTTAGCCCCATTCACCCAGCTTCATTCATAGGGACTCAGTGCTTTAAATGATCTTACTTAAGGATCGCACCCCCAGTCCACAATTTAAAGGGACACAGCAAAAATAATCCCACATTGAGCTGATGGGGACAATCAATTCTTGACAAGAGAGCATTACTCAGGACAACAAACACGCCCCACAGAAACCCATGGCCAAATCCGGCATTTAGTGCTGGAGAAGAAAATACTTTATGTTGGCCTATTTACCATTTTACATGTAAGTGAAATATGAGTTTAGAAAAAATGAAAACACAAGTCAAACCAAGGCGATAACTCATTTTGGATGGTAGTTTGGCTCTTGGACAAGATGGGACTTGTGTCTGTAAGAGAACAACTGGTAAATATGGCCACCAATTTGGATTTCTTCATCTCTGCATGCTAATTTTAAATTTTACCTAAGTCGTAACACCTACGGTTTTTAACACTGCTGATTACTCTAATACCAATCATCTATCCATTTATTACTCATAATTTCTAAGCACCATCTGCTCACACCAGAGCTTGAGAACCCCACACTCTGGACTGCTTCATTTCAGAGCATCTGAGGTTTGGACTTGGGATCATTACAGATAACGAGTTATCTTAAGGCTGAGACATCAATCTTAATTAAAAACACCAACTTCATCTAATTTCACATCCACTTATACCTACAGTCTGAAGGTAATTTCCACACAACATTCTTAGTATCCATGGAATTTAACTGCAACTTGTCAAATGAGGTCAGATGTAGAATTTTCTGGCTGTGGCACGAGAGAATTCCTAAGATGTTTCTGATTTTGAATTTTAGATTTTCCCATTAGGTGACATTCAAACTGCTTTAATATACTTGGAGGAGCAGAAATATAAGAATGTGATTTTGTGAAGAAAATTAGAATGTAGGTTGTCATTGTGTGCACCCCTTTAATTGTGAGGCAGAGGCACGTTGATCTCTGTGAGTTCGATGTCAGGTGGATC